AACTATCCATGTCAGAAAACACACATTTTTGCCAAATGAAACAACAAAACAACAAAATAACAGCAAAGATAGCCATTTGTGAACTCTAATCAATAATACATTGATCGAACCAATATGAGTTTTCTGTTCTTATCATCCAGCCGTCTGTATTTTTATTGTTTCGAGTTTTTCTGATAGAATTATAATTACACCAGACATCATTATTCCACAATTTACTTTTCTCAAAACAGTCTGCTTCTTCTAATTTGATTTCAAACTAAATTTGTTGATATCAGGTTCCTAGCAGGGGAGGTGGACTGGTTGTTGGTAGTGTACAAAGGTCATAACCTAACTAGAGATTTAAAAAAGGGCATCAAAACAAATTGCTCCTGATTCCACTTCACAAACAAATGGCAGCAATCAGTAGGGGGTACAGAAAAGGTATTTTCATCACTAGAAAAACAATTTGCACCCTCAAGTATACCCCTACTATATTTTTTACCATATTTATAATATAATTTTTATTCGTTTCTGCCCCAAATTATTTAACAGTGTGCATCAAATCAATTCAATTTTTCTAAAACGTTCCACGAGAGGCTGGATACTTAACGCTTCCAGTTGCCGCATTTTGAATTCAGCCCTGATAGTTGTCCCCAATCAAGTCCGTATGCCCCTATTTGTACCCCCATCCTTGGGGCACCACGTTTTTTTTGTAGTAGATCCATATATACGCAAAAGAGACTTCGGCTTACAAAAACTGAATTAAAACATATACAAAACTACACCACTGAACTGATTTGCAACGCTAAACTGAAACGAAATTGAAAGGCAAACAATGTTTCTTTTCAATGAAGCAAATAATTCATAAACATTGACAAATCCAAACCAAACAGCCTCTATCGAAAGATCTTTTCCAATAAAATTTGTTCAAGAGCTTTAGAAAAACAGCTATATTCCAAACTGTTTCCTCTTCTAGATATTTCCTGATGAAATCTGTCATAAATATGTTATGTGTAAATAAATCTAGAAGGTAATTATAACTAATATTATAGTCTATCCCCTCTTATATCATCTCTTCTTATTTCTCATTTCTTATATAATATTCTTCTTTTATTACAAAGATAATTCCCATTATTATAACAATCTGTCCTGATGAAGATTATGTATATGAAACATGTGTCAATATCATGAGATGATATCTAGTTATATATACAATAATCTTTCTTTATTGGAAAGTTCATCCCATTTTCATTACTAACTGTCCTGATAGGGACACGCGTCCACAGAATGAGATGAGCTTTAGTCATTTAGCTGTAAAATAAATCCCATGTCCATTAATATTTGTCCTGATGAGGATTATGTATCTGAAACGTCTGTCAACATCACGAGATGAGCTCAAGTAAATTAGCTAACATTAAATCCTGTATTGGAACGTTAAATCACCTTTTTATAACTAGCTGTCCTGATGAGGACTGTGTTTCTGAAACATGTATCAACAGCATGACATGAGCTAACATTAAATCCCAAATGGAAAAGTTAAATCCCATTTCCATTAATATTTGTCCTGATGAGGACTGTGTTTCGGAAATGCATGTCCACAGAATGAGCAGAGCTCTAGTCAATTAGCTAACATTGAATCCTATATTGAAAAGTTAAATCACCTTTCTATAACTAGCTGTCCTGATGAGGATTGTGTATCTGAAACTTGTCGGCAGAATGAGCAGAGTTCTATACAAAGAGCTAACATGAAGTCCTATATTGGAAAGTTAACCTCCTAGTTCAATATATACTGTTCTGATGAGAAATAGAAACGTGTCTGCACCACAATAAGAGTTGAGACTCTATGTACTGTCAAGTGAGTTAGAAAGACCAGTAGTTTCAAGTTAAACACAGTATGTAAAACAGTATGTAAATGGTGATATGTTTCAAAAAGAAATAATTAATAACCAGAGGCTGGTAAGCAGTAAAATTAGGTCTAACTTAGACAGACGAAATATTGTTTATGCTGAACAAGGTGAATATAACCTAACAAAGTCTACATCATAAATGAAAGACAAAACCCATTTACAGACAATAGTTAAACAGTAGAGATGTCATGTTTACAAATATCACCATTACAATAACTACCACAGTCAAATATCAGACAACATGGACTGAGCTCTAGTTCATCAAATAATGGAAGGTTAAATCAAGATCCATTTCCAAAACTATCAGTCCTGATGAGTAATTGTATCAGAAACACACAAGAAAAAGGTATCCTATTCTGTAAGTAAATATCGTTTATGCAAAAAAAAAAAACAACACATGTCAACTGCATGAGATGAGTTGAAGTCCAAAACTATTTGTCCTGATGAAGATTTAGTATCTGAAACGTGTCAGCAGCATTAGATGAACTTCAGTTGTCATACAAGTATAATATAATATAATATAAACGACGACGAGTCAAGTCCTTACAACCCAGACTACTTGGTTCTAAAAGGTTGTATTATTTAACCTTCTACGGTAATTCATTCATCTATATTTCCTTGTTCCTGCCATATTACAACAAACAATTTTACCAAAAAGTTATTTCATTTTTTTTCACATTATTATGTTTTGTGAATTGCTTAAATTTTATCAATTCCTTTATTTTTGCTGAAAAACCAAAGAAACAAAACACATGAAAGTAGAATTCCAAAAACTATCTGAGCAAACAAAACAGTTCGAACAACAATTCATCCAAAATTTCAAAATCAATAGCGCAAAAACAAACTTCAGATCAGCAGACAAAATGAATAAATCAATCTTTCTTTAACAGTAAAAGTTTCAACTATGTCGGTAATTAAAGAAAACAGAAAGAAAACACAAAGACAGATTTCAAAACTAAGATCAATATGTCTTGTGTACGGAAACATGCTGATATATCCACGATTTTAAAATAAAGTTGAAATAGATTGATAAAACAAACCATTTCAATTTAAATCTAAAACAAATATCACATTTATCTCCATATACTTCTAGACTCACGAAATTCCTCCATTAACACCAAATTCCTCCATTAACACCAAATAATCCATCACTTTATAAATAAATAACCACTTTCTATCCTCAAACAATTAGGCGTTGTGGGTTTGAATCCTCCTAAAGTGCTATCAAAAATTTAAGACTTTTTAATAAGGAAATTCCTCCATTAACAAAGATAAACCAATACATCAATTAATAAGCAAATAAACACTTCCATCTTCACCAAATTATGTGCTGGGGGTTCGAATCTTCCTCAAGTGTTTCTGAAAGTCAGCTCAGTGTCCAATTTCAACACCTATAATATCCTGAAATCCAGCTCCAAATCACTAATCCTCATCTATCTATCATAGCATGACAATAATCCTAGTCTTGAAAGTTATTGAAAACAATTTTAAAAACTTAACAAACCAACATGACGCTTTAAATTACATCAAAAATCACAAGAAAAAAATTGAGGTAAAAATCTAGACTAGGTTGTCTGACAGTAAATCAAATAAACAACCTGACTGTTACCTAACAACTAACAAATGTGAAATGAATTCTCATAGTGAGATTATAGAGATTAACAGATAAAGAGATTAAATAACAATCAAGGCCCTGTAAAACAATCAAGGCCCTGTGTAACAATCAAGGCCCTGTGTAACAAAAAACATTTTGACCATCTCGAGAAATACAGCAAATATTGTTTTATTGCGTTTAAAAATGTGCGCCACTACGCAGTTTTACTTAATGTACCATCGCTATACAAGACAGGTGCATTATTATTATTATCTATTATTATTATTATTATTATCTATTATTATTATTATTATTATTATTATTATTATTATTATCAAAACACTATAACACTAAAATCCAGCCAGAAATTCAGAAAATACTGTAATCTGATTGGTTGATAAAAGTAATTTAAAAATCAATTTTGGTATAATTATTATTATTATTATTATCATTATTATCAATATTATTATTATTATTATCAAAACACTATAACA